GGCCCGTGTCTTACCCCGCTGTTTTGGGGTGGAAATGCTGCCGGGGGGAGGGGGGCGGTCTTCTGGCGTGACGTCAGGCCGCGTGACGTCAGGCCGGCGTGGCCCGGGTTCCCTCGGCTGCGGCGTGGGGAGTGTGGCCGTACCTCGTGTTTCCCGCTGCCCCGAGGAGCCCAGCTTGAGCGGGGCTTTTCCGCGAGCGAACGTGGGCGCGTGTGGGGCCGGGGCTGCTGGGGACAGGGTTTCCGTTCCGTGGAGGTTTGTGCCTGACGGTTTTTAGCTGACAGAGGGGAAAAAGCTTGTTTTCCCGTGCAGCCGATCCCGTGTCCTTCGTGAGTTACCCCGTGACAGGTGTCAGGCAGCCAAGGGACCGCGTACACGGCAAAACACCACGTCCCGTAAGGCCGCCGCGCGCGGGCGAGACCTGCTCTGGTCTCCTGTAGATTTGCCCCTCACGCTGGTTTTTGGGCAGCAGCCGCTCCCCTGCAGAGCCTTCGCTGGTGCCGGCGGAGGGTGAAGCCTCCCTGCGGCCTCTCCCATGCTGGGAACACCGGTAACGCCTCTCGTCAAGACCACACTGTCCGTTGCCTCTCCCATGCTGGGAACACCGGTAACGTCTCTCGTCAAGACCACACCGTCTTGACAAACTTCCCAGGAGTTAACGTCTTCAGGGCTCTGCCAAATGCAGCTCCCAGATTTGAAAGAGGGTCAGAGGGGCCTCGCGGGATGGTCGCAGCAGCCGTATTTCTACAAGACGTCACGCTGCGAGTAGGAAGGCGTGCTCTGTGCAAAAGCAATCCATTTAGATCTATTTAGTGTGCGTTGTTACCAATTAGGCTGTTGTAAATGCCAAAATACGTTTCCACGTTGCGTGGCAGAAGCGGCAGTCAGTTAGAGCAGTCTGTGGTCTGTCAGGTGCGTCTCGGTTTATTGCTTCGCTTTTCTCCAGGTATGAAATGATGTTACGAGCAGTGAATGTAAAGCCATATAACTTGCAACCTCTTGGGCCCCAATTTTGCAGTGCCTTACAAATGTGTGTAATTTTAAGTACTATCAGTACTTCCGTTGACCTCAGTGGGACTACTTATAGTGCTCTAAGTTAGACACGCATACATTTTTTCAGGATAAGAGCCAAAGATGACTCATATGAGCGTATGCATCATGGATTTTTATCTTTCCACCACTATTTGTTGTTATAACTTATGGTTTAATAAAGGTTAAATATGTGGAGCTCAACTTCAGGTTCAGTTGTAAAATAGCCAGTTTCCATTCTGCACATTTCGTCTTGCTTGGGCTTAATGCTTTCTTGAAGAATCGTGATGTTGGCACTCTTCATGCTTTATCCCTTTTGGATGCTTTATCAGCTCCAGCAGCTGTTTTGCATAAGTGTGATGGTTGAAGAATATGGATTTTGCAAGTCATTTTATTTTTCCCAGCATTCGGCAGTGAGAGATCATTGTCTGCTTAGCAATAATGGCTTTTCCAAAAGCGAAATGTGACAAACAATTTCTAATAAATCAGACCTCGAAGAGTTTAATAGTACAATTCAATGACCCATCACCAATGTTTCATACATTATGCAAGCTCAGTGCAAATATAGCGGAGAGCATATGCAATTACTGAAGATAATTATCTTATTCTTATGAGGGAAAACGTTGCTGAGTATTTCCTGTGTTAAATAATTGACTGAGGTTCCTAATGTCATTTTAGGAGGAGTGTCACAGACACTTGGAAATCTAACAATAATTTAAAATGACAATAACACAGGCAAAGTACAGGAGGTACTGGAATTATTCTCTAATAAATCTAAAACATTATTAGTTGGGAGGTTATTGTTTTGGAAGACTGGGAGTTATTCTATGCATTTGATCCGATAACAAAGAGGAGGGTTTGTCTTCACTGCAGAGCTGTCCTCAGTTGTAACTGCATCAAATGCTGTGAAGCCAAGTCCCGATGCACGCAAAAGCCATGAAGTGCAGTGGCATTTTTAACTGAAGGCAGCTGGGTCGTGGGGTGATGTATGTTGAAGATCAGTGACCACAGCGCCTCACTTGCTAGCGCAAGCTGTAGCAGGCTCTCAAGTGGCAACTCTGGCAATCCAAACGTCAGCGGTCCACAAACTGCTAGCAATCCGCAGCCTGCCTTTAAGAAATCTGCACGAGGTTACCAAAATAAGCAGGTCAGTTGGCAGCAGCCTTCTGAAGGCTCTGAAACACTCTGAAAATACTAGGGGTCTAAAAAAGGAAGGTTAAAACCACTCTTCAAACAGAAGGATAGTTGTTGATCAGCAGCAACCTTAGTATTGTTTTTTATTCAGACCTGTGCAGTCGACGGGGCTGGGGTGCTCTTCTCCAGAGGCAACAGGACGCGGTAACACTTTCCCTAAAGTGTGACTGGTGGAAAACAGGAACGAAAGAGGCCTTGGTACTGTTTTTAACCGTTTAGCTGTGGGAAAGGAGCTTCTTCAGCACAACGGTATAATTGAGTTCTTAGCGCTGGTCTCATCTTAAATGAACGGACAAGAGGCGTGATAGAAAACAGAGCGGGGCCAATAAAAAAAAAAAGGAGGGTAGATGAAGGGATTGCTGTTTACGGAGAAACAGGTGGAGGGGCTGTTTTCCAGTTTCTCTTGCAGGATTCAGTGGGTGAGTTGGTTAGTCAAGCTTGAAGGAGAGTTGGACACAGCTGTTGTCTTTGCCTTCTTTGTTAAACTGGTTTTGGCAATAGCCGCAACAGAAATGGGTCAGATAACACGTTTCTCATCAGATGTCAAGTCTGGAATCTGGTTTGACCTTTGTCAAATTAACTTTAACTGAAAAAAATTCCTAGTCTGGTTAGTGTGTTATCAGCAAATTTTCCCATTCTTGAATATGCTTAACTTTTCTCGGCTGAAAAGACAATTAGTACAAATCACCTGTATTTATTTATATTACATTATTTTTCATAACTGATAGGATTTCCATCTGCTTTAGGCAGTGTTAACTAGTGATTCTCGAAGGATGAGAAGTGTCTGCGTTGTTTATTAAGAAAATGTATTCCTTTGTATTGTGGTATTTATGAAATTCAACTCTACCAGCATTTGTTATTGGTAGAAGAAAAGATGAGAAATTTGAAGTCACACAGTCAATGGGATGAAGTGAGATGTTCTTGAAAGGATTTCCATCTGCTTTAGGCAGTGTTAACTAGTGATTCTCGAAGGATGAGAAGTGTCTGCGTTGTTTATTAAGAAAATGTATTCCTTTGTATTGTGGTATTTATGAAATTCAACTCTACCAGCATTTGTTATTGGTAGAAGAAAAGATGAGAAATTTGAAGTCACACAGTCAATGGGATGAAGTGAGATGTTCTTGAAGATAACATTTTGGCTTCTGGCTTCTATACTTTGTAAATTGTTTTTTTTAGGGCTCTGGAGCAGTCTAGATGGAATCATAACTTCAGGGAATGCATATTTGATTAGAAAT